TTCGAGCGTTTGCACACAAATAATTAACCATTGCAGCAAGCTCATTGGCTACTTTGATCATTATTTCTGTCAGCAACAGACCTGTTTTTATTGGCAAAGTCCGTGTTTTAATTCACGTTATTCCAACCTCCATATTCAGACTGCGAAAACCAGAGGACGGAGACGCATCATCTAATTTCTGATGAAACATACATATCTATATACTCTCTTCAGTGTTTCTAGGTGGACGGAACAGCCAAAATATTGCACGAATCTAATGGAAAACCACCCTCGTTGCCATTTTACAAAGGCTGCGTTTTGTGACATCTTGCACTATATTCCTTCAACAACTTGAATGTGGACAAGAAACCACAGCAACAAAAACTCACCTCAATTGTTGCGATCATTATTGATACTTCAACTTTTATTCGGCATCATAGGGCCTCCATTCTCTGACTGGAACACACAGCTGAAAGTGAGGCATTGTTCCAATTCTCTTCAAACTGTGCAACCGTCTGCCCAAGAGTCGCCATGTACTTGCTTAAAGTTGTTGGCATTGTAGCCATCACTGCAGCAATCAATGCTGCATGGGGGTCAGACTTCTGTCCCTCTCTGCCTCCGACTGGGAGAGCAGCAAGTCAGCTTGTCAAAACCTAGGAGGCATGATGGCTGCCCCTCATTCACTTGAAGAAATGAAGTTCATGGCAGATTTGGCACGACAGAAGGACAGCAAATACAGCGTCTGGATTGCTTGCAATGACATTAAAGTTGAAGGAAACTGGACGTGTGACGGCCAGGAAGGAAGCAAGCCGTTCATGGCATGGGGACCTGGGCAGCCGCATAATACGGATAATATTCAAGACTGTGCAGCAATAGCTGCAAAATGTAATGACAGTATGAATGATGCTCGCTGTAGTAAATCCCGTGAGGCCGTTTGTATCCGTCAGGCTGTCTGCACTCCTCGCCTAACCCAACCCCGTCAATACTGCTTCTCCAGCAACACTCCCATCCCAATGCTCAACTCAACCTGCCTCCTTGACCACGTCATCCGAGAGTTTATTACCGAGGGTGTCACTGCTTGTGGCTCGACCTGCATCAAGGAGCCTGGATGTCGCTCCTTCAACATCAAAAAC